TTTATATTGATTCCTATGTTATAATTTTTTTGTATTTGAGAATGAAATAACCTTTATACAAATTCCCCGGCTCGTGTACTTATGTATGTTTTATATTTTGTAAATTTACCTTCTAAGGTTCTAAATAAATGAAATCAACACTTCTTTGCTTTAATTGATTATTCAGTTAATTTAAAATATATTTTTCTAATCAAATTAAGATAATAAACTTCACATTAAACTAATTTTTCAAATATTTGAAAATGAAAAGTTTTAAATTCATATACTTTTAAAATTAATTATATATTTTATTTATATCAACATTTAATATATTTTTATAATGCATATAATATTTCTTAGTTTTCATAATATTAATTTGTTTCATCACGCAAATTCAAAATCTAAGGACTTGTTTAGAATAAATGACAATTTTAAGTTTTTTTCTAAATTAAAATTAATTTTCAGTTTTATATTTATTTCAATATATATATATATATATATATATATATATATAGTTTTCTGTTTGGTTTAATTTGGGTCTAACTTAGGTCGCACACTTAAATGTGATGAGTGAGTTTATTACTAAAATTTTTTTTGTATATGCAAAAACTTAAATCCGAGACTTTGTTTAAATGATACCAAGCTGTTTGCCACTTAAATCAACATCGGTTGGTACTTTTAGGTAGTTTTAAAGTTTTAATATTTAATATTATATATTAAATTTAAATAAAAAAATTTAATGAAAATGATGCCAATGATAAATGGTGATGATGAAAATAATAACAATAATTATAGGAAAAAAATTATGAATCTTTAAACAAAAACTGTATAGAATCAAATTATTATTTATATAACTACATACTAAAACTTATTATCAAGAAAAATAAGTTAAAAGGAATTTGAAAATTAAAAATTTTATTCATTTTTATTTTATCCATACAGAATATTTTATTGTGACGTGGATGGTTCTTACTTTTAGTGTACTCTTCCGTTTTTTAATCAGGGTAAATGCGAATGATAAGTATTATTAAATATTCATTCCATACATGCTTTGAAAATGTTTGTTTTCTTTGACGGTGAATAATTATTAATTTGGTGATACTTAGACGCTTTCTTCGTCAAAATAGCAAATTTAAACATGAAATCCTTATCCAAGTTGCATCATAATCTGACTTTTTGTTTCCTTTTTGAGTTTTCAGCACATCTGATTCATTTTCAAACGAAGATATAGAATATGTTAATATATCTATTTTAAAATAAAATTGACCCCATTTTCAAAAGCAAAATCTGAAGGCCCACATCAAATATGCTCGAGGGTGTGACGCAATAATATTCAAATCTTGAAGCTCTATAATAATAATAATAATAATAATAATACAAGAAAGATGACAATTTTTACCGTAAATATTATTTTCTAGACTTTGATTGTATTGACTTCTCCCTGAAAAAAAATATAGATATTCATATAATATTGTTTTAAATTGCATATATCTTTTATAAAACGTAATTTTATTTATGTTTGAACATAAAGGTAATTTTCATATAAAAAAAGTTTTGTATGTTTACAAAAATTGAAGTCAAGATCTTGATTACAATAATATATTAATTAAATTAACTAATAATTTTACTCGACTCAAATATAATTTTCCTTAATAGAGTATATTTACGGTCTAAAAAATGTATGCTAAATAATATGATATTTTATTTTTGAATTAATGATCCACTAGTTTGTTCCGTCTCACTTTTCAAGAGTTCAAAGACCTTGAAGAATTATTCAGGCGTTAGCTACATATTGCAATGTAGCAAAAAGGAAAAGGCTTGAAAGTTAAACAATTTGATGAGATGAATTCTTCGTATGCTCTTAAATTTAAGTTGGTCTAGTAGAGAGACATGCTTTCTCTAGCATTCATATTATGTTGCAATCTCCATGAATTGGTAATTAAAACATATTTCTTGTGGCCCAATTCATAGTGAACACACCACCACCATACCATATGTGGATCCACCTTCCAAATTCTTATTAGTGAGTGAATCATATTATCCTATTCCAATAGCATTAGTGACAAAATGAATTGGAAGTTTGGTGAATTTGGATATGTGGGGATATACATACCCATTGAAGTGAACAAATCAATCATGTAAGGAGGTAGCACTGAGAATGCAGAACACCAGCCAACATAAACAATGGGACAAAACGTTGAGATCCTCTTAGCCACATTATCTTCCCTTCTCGTATGCATATCATGAGCCCTGAGCACAAGCAAGTAAAATCTATAGCCGGTTCCCAAAAACACCATAATAAGTCTTGTATGATGATGATCCTTGCCTTTCTTTCTCCTTTACTCAATTTTTGCCACTAAACATTCCAATTCTACTCCGCAATCATACCCTTTAGATGGCTTTTTGGCGGGATAGCATCACCAATCACCATCATGCAATCTTTCTTCGTGAACCGTGATGTTCCTGAGGTCAACACTCTCATAATTTTGTCGCATCACTGCCAAGTTTCGGCTTACTCAAGTCTTTGTTTGCAAGTTCAACTGGCAACTTCAACTTCTATACATATGACTGATGTATATATCTTCAACATGAAGTATATGATTTTTAAGTTCGAACTGGAGCTCATTTTCTTTATTCCTGAATTGTCAATATAATTCATTAAAAATAATATAAAAGAAACGACAAAATAATACATAATTACATTACTGCATCTAGTTACAGATGCAATAATTCAGACCCTTTTCTTCACCTTAAGTTGTGTTAACATCTAATGTTATTTATAATTTTTGGGCTTTTACTCAGCTTAGACAGTCTCAAATTTGTCTTGAGCTGAAGTACAACAATTGCGTCTATTTATAGGTTTCCGTCAACCTATAAAATTACAAGATTTATCTAGCGATAATCTTTTAACAATTGAGCTTTTAAAATCTACTAGGATCGGGTTGCTAGTGGGTGATTTAGAAGTATATTAATATATAAATTCCAAAAATAACATTTATGTTTTATGATGTATATCTATATGTGATGTATCAAGTGAGATTTTTTTTACGTGAGTAAAATGAATAAATTTTAATTATTCAATTTTATCATGAATGATCATGATTAAAATGTATAAATTATGAGAATCTTTTAAAAATTTATGTGATCTTTTTAAGTGATCATGTGATTTTCCAAATCATATAATCATGACCATACATATATAATTATACAATCCAAATTTACTCCTTCTACAGTGATGAACTTTTTCAACGTATTATTTTCATAATTTTGTGTTATAATTCCAAAACACGGTTTAACAACAATTATAAATATTAAATTTAAAAATTTTTAACAAAAAAATTTAAAATAATATAAATTATAAAGACAACATTTTTGGTTAATTGTAGTTCAAGATATTAATTTTAACAAGTTACTCGCTTGAATTTTAAATTACATATAAGCATATAAGCTTAACATTAAGGCTATTAAGAAGGATTAAAAAAAGAAATTAATATAACTTCTACTCCAATTTAAATTTCGTGGAATAATGACAACCAATGAAACAAAAAAATTACAAGCACAATCTAGTGGGAGCAATTTGAATAATAAATTAAACGATTTTACTAATATCAATTTGTAGTCTTGATTTTAACTACTCAAGGATATTTATCAGTTTTTTATATTTTTAATATAATAAATATTTCTTTTAAAGAACTCTACAAAGCCAAGTCAACTTCAACTACATAAGGCGGCTCTTTCTATGAACCCATTATCCGCCTTTTGTCGGTAAGGCATCAATAAGCAACAAACAAAAAGAAGAAAAAGCAACGTCAAGAACACTATTGTAATGTCAAAAGCTCAGCAACAACCTTAACAAAGCAAGTACTGAAATTTGCATTTATATTATTCCCCATATTGACATTATGTGAAGGATCCTTCGCAAATTTTGTGGAGGGTGAACTACCTACCTGCCGAGTGCCGAATACCACAAACACAAACGTGAAAAACAATGCTATCTACTACCCTAGTATTTGGCTCAACTTTTTCAAGCTTATCTTCACTTATCTTAATAGTAGTATTACAATAAACAGTTCATTTAGAAGATAAAAATTGTCTCAAGCCAGAATTGGACCATATATTCTCGTTATTAGGATCTTGCATTTACGCTGTGGCATGTGCTCAAACCATTTAAGACAGAAACCAAGGTGTGTTTACTCAGCGGTCAAGAAAAAACAGGTGGTTGCACTACTACAGTAAGTAATGTTTTCGTACAAACCAATTATTCATAACTCTTCCCTAACTCCTGGACAACTCATTTATTAAAAGTAGATAAAGTAAAAAGGCAATTAAATTATAGGGATGAAGCTCTGTATGCAACATACAAAACCACACCTGTCCACACGCTTAAATAAAAATGAAGCAGTACTTATGCACAATTCAGAGTGCTAGAAATCTGTGGCAATAATACCCCAAATTTGAGCTACAAATCTTGTGATGAATTCAGAGGGAAAAGAAAAACCCTAGTGCAGTATTTTAGCTGCTTTTTGTATTGCTCTACAATCAAAATAAGACTTTAACCTCATTAACTAGGACAATAAAGACCGACATTAAAAGTTGATAATTATCAAAGTGAAACTTAAATTTTATTTAGAAAACAATACCAAAAATATCATTTACCTCAATCGTTCCCTGTTCAACTGGCTACCCCCTAACCCCATATTGGAAGTATATAGTCAATCAAATGTATCATAAAGGCCACACCCTTAACACAAAAGCAAAAGATTAGAAAGGACATCGAAGGCAAAAAATCCCTGTATGAGATATGGATGTCTCAGAAAACACCTAGCTTTATATTGAAACCACAGTGAGGGGAAACCAATTTAACCATAAAGATTAGTGGAGATAAAATGACAACCGGAGTATCGAGGGAAGGTGAGGGGATGAATAAGAGTAAAGCATCATCATTAAATTATCAAATGACAAATGGAAGTTGACACTTGACACAACCGTTCAAACAGATAGATAGTTACTACACATTTGGAGTAAAATACAATGGCAGTGTAATAGAGGGTTAAAAAACTCTCCTGCGACATTTCATGCTCAGCCCCAATTCATATGAAAAGACTGGCAGAGAAGATGAACAACAGATGAATGATGTATTTATTGTACTTGCTAACGTACTGCTATATGCAAGCACTTTCAATTCTGGTATTTTTGTTTACAATTGTTCAAAAGATTCCTCGTACAAAATTGCAAAGAAACTTGAGCTTGGACAAAATTTTCATTGAGCGAGAGAACTTCTTACCTGGTTTACACACACATGGCAGCTAAAATTCCATCCAAAAGTTGCTTCATTAAGGTATTATTACCTACACACATGTGACAATACTGGAAGACAAAATGCCAGTAAGATGTTAAAAGTGTCAATGCAGCATTGTTGAATTGCTTGGATCCCAAGAGAAATTGTCAGAGAGGAATCATTACATTCCAATTTCCAAAAGATGAACCAAAAACCTTCTTCTTACAGTAATAGGTTACAAGAGAGAGCTAGCCCATCAACAATTTATTTAGAATGTACAACATACAAAAGAACCCTATGAGCTATGACAACCACAAAAAAAAAATGATCTTTCATTTTGTACAGGAGGTAGGTACCCAACAATATAGAATTTCAATAAACAAAATTAAACAAAAACTAACCTCCAAGGAGGACACTGAACAACAAATCTTGTCATCAAAGGTGACCCTTTTCCTTTTCCATTAAAAATCCATCCCATTAACTCAGCTTGTTGCCACGGAGAAGCTGAATCAAACAGTAGCAATTCCTTCTCACTTTCTCATTATGATCCTGCACCAACCCGAGACAAGTCTCCAAAACCCCTGCTTCCAAAGCCTCAAGAACAGTTTCATCACTGTTACAACAGAGGGAATAGAGAGCCATGAGAGCATACTGAACCCCCCTGGAGCTTCCATTCCTCAAAACCCGAGCCAGAATCTGCACACACCCACGAAACCTCTCCATCTGCTCCCTCCCTTCCTTACACTTAGCCAAAACCCCAATAACTTCCACACTCCTTTCGAGCCCAGAATCCGCACTCCGAAGCAAAACGGGAACGGCCCCGCACTCCACCGCTCTTCTCCGGTTATCGGAGAAAGAACAGAGAGCGTAAAGCGCGGTGGCAGCTTCTTTCTTCTCTCTCCCTTCACCGTCCCGAACTAGGGACACGAGAGTTTGAATGGCACACGGGTACGCTCCGATGGTGGCCTTGTTGACCTCCACGACGGCGAGGCTGGTGAGGAGGGTGGCGGCAAGGGCGCGGCAATCGGAGGAGGCGGCGGTGAGGACGGGGAGGAGGCGTGGGATGACGCCCTCGGCGACGAGGCCTACTTTGTTGTCGTCGTCGAGGCTGAGATTGAGGAGGAGGGAGAGGGCCTTCTCGCGGAGGGAGTCGTCGGGGGAGTGAACGCAGGTGAGAAGGGCGGGGACCAGGGCGGAGTCAGAGAGAGGGCGGCGGATGAGGGAGTCGCGGGGTGAAAGGCGCGTGAGGTGGCGGAGCGCGTGGACATTGGAGGGGAGGGAGGAGGAGGGGGAAGTGAGGGTGTGGGGGTGTGGATTATTGGAGTTTTGAGGGGAGATAGGGGCATAATTGGAAATCAAGCTTCGGAGTGCGTGGTTGGGGATGAGGGAGGCAGAGGCATGGTCGGGGAGGGGCAGTTTGGTAATTGGGCAGGTTCTGTGACCTGCGTCGAGCCATCTTTGAATGGAAGAACGGTCGAAGGTGTGACCGGAAGAGAGGACAACAGGGTCCGACATTACTTGTAGTGAAATTGGACACTTGAAGTGCTCCTCCGTTAGTTCAGCTGCCATTGCCTTTGAATGGTGAGTGAGAGGATTTACGTTATTGGTTACCACTTACGAGGTTTATGTAATGCTAATTTTCTATGGGACATGTCCATGCCCTCCCCATCCCATTGCCTTTGCTTCCTCTTCTGCTTCTTGGGACCTATCCCTATGCCATGATTATTTAAATTTCATTTTCTGTTTCAAAATATAATTATCAATTATAAATATTTATGACAAACGTGTTTTTTTTATTTTATTTAATAAAATACCCAACCGACAGCCCGCACGGGAGAAGTAGAATTGAAAAATATGAACCACTAATTTCATGAACAACCCAAATCACGAATACACCTATCGCTGCCCCTCACCGTCAACGGCTCAAATAAAATTCTCAAGATATCCAGCATCATCTGACTCAGATGAAATAAAATATTTAATTATAATAATAAAAGGTATTAATAAATACCTCATTGTCGTAATGAAGCAATAAAATACTATTAGCATTGCAAAAGAATATCTGAAAAGAGATGCCCTTATTCCAGTGTAAAATGTCTAACAGGATAAAGGCATGATGTGAACAATAAGCCATCTAAGTGATCAAAAAGTTAGTTTCCACTTGTAAAATAGCTTCAAGAATCAAGTTACAAATAACACCATTAATATTGCCAAGATCTGTGTTTAGTGCTGAAAATGACATTTTCCATAGAGAAATGTACAAAAACACGGAAAATAATTGAGAATGACTAAGCATCAAAGTACCTAGCAAGCTTCCCATCTCCTACTCCTAGCCAAAATTTTGTTTGATGCAACTACTTGTGACCTCTACACCAGACAGTTAATTCTATGATTAAAGATGACAAGATGAAATCTTTTCCTTTTTCTGCAAAAGTGGACTTTTCAGCCTTTTCTTGAATTGTTAACTCGTAAATCAAATATCTACATACACGTCACTTGCTTCCTTTGTTTTTTTCAAGGTGCCTGGAGTTAAATTGATCCTGACCTAGCCAAATCTTATGGGCATGCATGGCATTGATATAGATCTTCGATCTTTCGGGTCCTTGTTTTCTTCTATCCTACTCAGGTCCTTCCAACCCCTACACACAGATACAAACACAAAAGAAGTATCTTAATTATTTGATTATTTTCTTGACTAGTAATTTCAAAATATGAAAAAGTGGAGGCATGCCCTGTCGTACTCAACTTGAACAATTCACGCGTTCCTCTCAGCACTTGGCTTTGCAATCATCACGAATATAACTAAAAAGAAAATATCAATCTTAAACTTTAGAAGTGAATTTAAGAAACAAAAAGTAGTTTGATTTTATTTTAAAAAATATTTATCATATTTTTATAATTTGAATACGATAACTGTTTTTTTTTTAATAAAACTTTTAAAGAATTCTTATTCCTGTGCACAACAAATTTGAACATGAAATGGAACAAGTTAGTGGAGAAGTAAGTAGAAGGCAAAGGCAATTAATAATAGAAAAGTGCTAGTTGGAGTATCCATGCACAGGGAAGGGTGTGATGAGCATTATCTTGAGCTATAATATTGGTGAGAGGGAGAAAGGGAAGGGAGTGGTCCCCTAAGAAGACAACAAAATGAAGGGCAGGAGTTCCCTACAATCATATCTCGTCTGCCTTTGAGACAGGTAATTAAGAGGAAAACATACTAAGCAAAAAAAAGGAAAAGAAATTGTGGGGACAATGATTTGTTTGTATTTATCACGGGGGACAGGGACGTGATCCATGAGAAGTACCATTTGTACGCGCTCATGGAAGATAGTGGAAGGATTAGAGAGTATCCTTATATGTAGAATGTTTTCTGCATCACACACTTTCTATTTAATTACTATCCCACTGCTTCCCAGCTCAGTAACTCCTTGCTATTTGCAACTGCCCCTTTCAAGAGTTAACAGACGTGTATGTTGGGCTGCGGTCGGATTCGGGCGAGTTCCGGCCCAATAACCCAAAACCGAGGCAAACTGATGGATTAATTTCAAGGTCCAGACCAAATAAAGAATCGGGTCACACGGGTTTCGGGTTGAGCGGGTACCGGGTCATACGGGTGGGTTACTCGGGTGGGCCAAAATATTGGGCCTTTAAAAAAATTACAAATTGTTCAAGCTCAAATCTTTCTTGTTTTTTAATCTTTGCTACTTTATTCCATTTTTTAAAGATAAGGCCCAATTCTAATTTTTTGCTTCTTTATCATATTTTTTCAGATTGTACAGCCCAATCTATTTTCAATTTCTTTTTACTGAATCAAAAATTTTGGTTAAGGAATTAAAAAAAACCATTCTTTTAACACCTAATTAAATCATCCTCATGTTAAGAAAATATAAAATAAAATTGATGAATAACTTGCATCACTCTATAATATTCATAACTCAAAATTCAAAATAAAAATATTTTAAAAATTAAAATTCATCATAATTTAAACTCTAAGAAAAAAAAACCTAATCATTCATCACAATTCAAATCTGACACATAATATTATATCAATAATATTATCATCATGACGAGAGAGTAAATATTACATTAATATATCACCATCAATCATCAATAGTCAATAGTTTAGTTTATTATCTATAATATAAAAAATATTATCATCAATTATAATAATTATGTGTTTAAAGTTTGTTATTCATTACAATAATAATGATGATTAACACAAGTAATCATATTCAATGATGTTTAAAGTGATGTATATGTTCAACTTCGGTAATCAGTAGCCAAGTATTTTGTATGAAAAAAATAATGCATTAATAGAAAAAATAATACAATATTATTTTACCTAGTTTATACTTCAAATTAACAGAGGAACATACTTACATAGAATATCCTATGAATTGTTTTAATAATCAAATGATTCCAACATAAACTTCAAAGGACAAGAACTTAGATCATCCTCTTTCTTAGAAAATCTTCTTAGTTTGCATTTTTTTTCATGATTATAAAGTTTATTACTTTTGTTTTGACTGTTTATTTTGGTATGAGTAACTAAACTCATATTTAAGACTATGATAGACATTTTGCATGAATTTGTGTGATCTTCCTATTTAATAATAATTTCAGGTTCTATTGTGATTGATTTTTTTTTTCTAGTGTGCATATTTATATGTTAGAAATTGACCACTTATAGTATATTGTAATTAATTACATAGTAGGTAATTATATCACATATAGTTAATAGACTCATAGAATAAAATGAGATAAGGATTAGGTGGACCAAACTTAACTCATCTCTCATAATTTTATTTAATTAACAACCTTTTTGACACTTCACGTTTTCTTATCTTTTTGCCTTGTATGATCATTTAGAATAATAATTTGAAAAAAAAAAAGACTCTTGACATTCTATGACCATTGGATAATAAAATTTGTATGATTGATTGACAATTATAAAGAAACTAGAATTAAAATTAAGTTAAAAAAAAACGTGTAAAAGCGAACCTTTAAGCCTTAGGTTCTTTTCTAATTAGTAATTAAAAGTGTCTTTCATCATTGTTTTTAACTTGTTTAATCAGTTTATTTACTTTCCGAAACTTTTCTTAAATTTAAACAATTAAATCAAGACTTTCTTGGTACTTGGAAATGATTCTTGTGGAATGATAATTTGGAAACTGAATTTAAAATTTTATTATTATTTTTTATGGGTATATTTGTCAAAAACATAAGAATTAAACAAAATCATTTTGTAAGATTCATTATTTTTTTATAATTGAAAACCCTTATTAGAACGGAAATATAAGACACCTTCTTCTTAAGAAATATTTGAAATTCAATATAAAAAATAAAAAACATGACAAAGTAAAATCACAAAAAATGTCCTCTTTCTAATTGAAGAAAATTGTTACAACTTACTATGCTACCATTTGAGTTAGAGGAGTAATACTACAAAAAATACAAATATAATTCTTCACATTTCATGTGGTAGAGAATTTTTCATTCATCCAAAAATTAAAAAAAGGCCAATTTTACTTGTGCATTGAGATATAATTTAAGATATATATAATTAAGAAATAAATAATTACATGTTATTTTTTTAAAAAATATTTTTTTATTTTGTAAATACATATTTTTCAAGGATAAAAATTCATACTACAAAAATTAAAAATTTTATAGAGAAATATGTTAATATCTATATTAAATGAGTAAATATATATATAATCATGGGGTAATAAAAACTTTGAATATAAATAATTGGAGTTGACAGGAGTTTGAGTTTTAATTGTGTGTGTAAAAAAATAATTGTAAAAAAAACTATTTTAACATTTAAAAATAATTTAAGCATTTATTTCTTGTTATAATATTTCATAATTAATAAAAATAAAATATTTTTCTTTAAATTTTAAATATTATCTTTTTATAATTGTATTAAATTATATTAACACTGTTTAAAATAATTAAATATATTTTTTATAATTTATTGTTAACCATCGTAATATTTTTATAATTTGTGTTTAATGGTGTATTTTTATCTTGGTACAAAACATTTTTTTCTCATTTTAATCTCATGTGAAACACAATTTTTTTAATTTTATTCTCTGTAGTTTATTTTTTTGTAAAAATTAAGATAAAATATTTCTTATATATAAGAATTAAAATAAAAAATATTATGTTATATATAAAAATCAAAATATAAAATATATACAAAATTACGTTAAAAGTTAATATTAATTAGAATTAATATTTTTTTTATTTTTATCTTTTAACCTATCTTCAAATGAATAAATAAAGTATTGGTGTTAAATTTTTTATATTTATTATATATCAATTCTTATAAAATATTTAGAAAAAAGAAAAAACTTACTATTTTTAAAACGTAAAACTATGCTAAATATAAATTTTTAATCTCTTAAAATTTTGTGAATTTTCATTCAGTACTTCATTTAGTTTATTTTTACTATTTATTATAATACACGTTTAATTTCTATAGTTAATATTTATTTATAAATTATTTTTTATAATTGATATTTATATTTTAGTGTTTATATAAATATTTTTTATTTTGTTTTTTTTTCACGTTTTTAATATAATTTTGTCGGTAAAAATTAATTTCAAAATATTTATTTAACTAAATTGTAATATCTTTTATGTAAAGCATAAATAAAAAAAAATACATTACGTGTGGGGACTAAATTTGTAATTTAACTATAATTTTATTTAATTTCAATTCAAATTTTATTTATAAAAAGTAGAGAATTAAAATGTTAATTTTATTAAGAGATAAGTAATATAAAAAAATTATTTTATCACTTATTTTCTTAAAAAAAAATTTAATGAATATTTATTAACAATATAAAACATTAATATTATTATCTTAATGATATTTTAAAAATAATTAATTAAAGTTATATATATATATATATATATATATATATGAAAAATAATTTTGTATATTTTATTGATTAATATCATAAAATATTTATACTTAAAATATATCAAAAATAAATTTGATATTCAAACAATAATATATATTATACCATTTTAAATATTTAATTGTGTATTTTTAATATAAAATAATTTTTTTGAATATTAATTATCAATGATAAAATATTTATTTTAAAAATATTTTAATTTATCAATACACATCAAGCAAAATCAATAGTAACTATATGTCAACTTTAGTAATTAAATTAATGATTTTAAGAAATTTATAAATTAAAATGACTGAGTTATTAATTTTAAAACTTATTTCTTTTACAAATTTTAAATAAAAAATTATTTTTAAAAATATATTATTATTAAAAAATAGTGTCTTAAAAATTTTAATTAACAAAAATTAATTTTTTATAAAAAATAAAAAAATTAAATTGCTAAGATAAAGAAAAGTAATTAAATATGTTATGTTTTTTATAAATAAATTTTATTTTAAAAATAATCATAAGATTAAATAATATAATTAATAATTTATATATTTAATAATAATAATAATAAAAATATAAAAAAATTAATAATTAATATATTTTAAATTTATTATTTATTATTTATAATAAAGATTAAAAAAATATTTTATTTTATTTCTTATAAAAGAGATTTAGGCACTAATATAATAATGATTGAATTCCAAAAATCTTTATGGAGCCTCGCAACTACAGCGGAAAGGGGGAAAAGAATTAGAACCCTTGCGTCTCCTCCGCTGCAAATAACACCTTACATCTCCTTCCTATTCTCTATCTTTTCGACATAACCGCGGAAGGCGTTCCGCGTTTCTGCCGTAGCGCTCAGGTTGTTTCTTTATCCCCTCCTTTTCTTTTCCATATTATTCATTGTGTCTTGCCGATTCGACTCTCTGTTAGTGTTAGGGTTAGGATTCAATGTCTCTGTACGTTTGATGTGTGTTTCCGTGGTAATGGTTATTGATCTACGTCACTGCGTACGAGATTGATGTTAAAAGATAGTGTGAACTGGTCTGCCAGTTGCATGATTCCAGTTTTACGAAAATGGGGCATCTTAAGTTTCCTGCTCTGCACTGGCTAATGATATCTAAAAAGGGTTTGGTGTTAAAATTTGTAAATTAATACTTATCTTTACCGGTCGGCAAATATAAATTTTATCCGTGGTGGATTGTGGGAACTGTGAAGTGAAATTTGACCGAGCTATTTTACTTCTGAGCAAATGGAGTTGGGAATAAATTTTTTATCCAAAACTGGTACTAACTAAGGAAAGTTAATTAGGATATATCCTATGTTACTTGCTTCAGAGCTTTTTGGATTAAGTAGAGAACAAGACACTTAGTTTGGATATATATAAAATTTGATATTAGTTCTTTTGAACTGTCAGTTAGTTGGGTTTGTAGACACTTAACTCATACAAAAAATTGCTTTTGAAAAACATAGATTAATACTTTTAAGTTGCATGTACTTAAAAATAATTATAATATTAACTTTTATTGTGATTTTGTTATTTTATGTTTTTTATTTTGATTCTTATATATAATATAATATTTTTCATTGTAATCCTTGTATATAACAAATTTTTTATTTTAGTTCTTATAAAAAATTAAATTACAGAGACTAAAATAAAAAAGTTGTGTTTCACATGAGAAAAAAATGTTTTGTACAAAGATGAAAAAAACACTATCAAACACAGACTAAAACAATATTATGATGATTGATAATAAATTATAAAAAAATTATTTAATTATTTATAATATTTAAAATTTAAGGAAAAACTATTTTATTTTTATTAATTATGAAATATTATAGAATTATTTTTTAAATGCTAAAATTATTTTTAAATGTTAAAATCGTTTTTTTAACCAATATTTTTACACACACAAGTAGAACTCGGACTCCTATCAACATATATAAAGGTCCAATTATTTATATTGAAAGCTTTTATTCTTGCGTGACTACGTAGATATTTACTCATTTAATATAGTATTAACATGTTTTTGCTTAAAACTTTTAACGCTTCATCAAATGAATTTTTGTCCTTGGAACATATGAATTCAAAAAATGAAAATAATATTTTTTTAAAAAAAACATATAATTATATCATTTATCAATCGCATATCTCTCAAGTTATATTTAAATATATAAGTAAAATTGATGACTTTTTATCCTTGCATAGCTTTGTCAAATTCCTTCACGTGTGAACTGATGCTTTTTGTGGTATTGCTCATCTGACTCAGATGGTAGCGTAACAGCTCTCTTCGATCAGAAAGGAAACACTTTCTGTGAGTTTACTTTATCGTGTTTTTCATTCTTCATTTCTTTTATTTGAATCTAGATTTCAAAATTTCTTAAGGTGTCTTGTATTTCCGATTTGAAAACAGCAAACATCATGGAATGATTTTGCTTAATCCTCACTTTTTACTTTGGCAAATTACTTATTTTGTGTTATTTTATGTCTTAGGTTAATTCTTCTGAAGTTGCAGTTATAGAGTTTCTACATTTGATATATTAGATTATGTGTTTTGCTTTGTACCATTGTACTTTGGTTTAGGATTTGTGGGATGATAGACTGCAATGGGTGAGAATTTGTAGTGTTCATGAGCTTTTAATTCCACGGGTCTTAGTTTCCCTAAGTTCAGTATATGTAATTACAAGAATCTTAGGATTTGTTTGACACAAGCAGGCACAATGGACAGCGTAGTTGATTCTCTAAATAATGCCTATCAAGATTTTGTTGCTGCAGCAGCAAATGTGCTAGAAGCCAAAGAAAATGCCGGTTCACTTAAAACAACATCAACAGATACTGCACTAGAAAACTTCAAGCAGAAGTGGGAATTGTTTAGAGTAGCATGTGATCAAGCTGAAGAGTTTGTAGAGTCTGTGAAGCAAAGGATAGGATCTGAGTGTTTGGTGGATGAGGCAACAAGACCTGTGGCTGGAAAACCTGGACAGGCTACCATGACTGGTCTTCCACCCATCAGCGCTGTTCGATTGGAACAGATGAGTAAAGCAGTTAGATGGCTTGTGATTGAATTGCAGCATGGCTCAGGAGCTGGTTCTGCCAATTCAGCTCTTTCTCATCCCTCAGCTCCTTTTGATGCCAGGTTTTCTGAAGATGCTGCTCAGTAGCATTAACTTCCCTGTGATGAATAATAATTTATATATCATTATGCCAATTGTGCTTAGGGTGTACTGCTTTAGAAATTATATACGGTTTTAACTATTAGCTTTAAGTTAAATGATGTAACTTATGTGTATTGTGCATGACATGATAATCTTTAAATTTTTTTGTTAGTGATACATAATGTATTATATCCCACAAAATTGCAAGACGAATTATGGCTAAATTTTTCGTTATAAATTTAATGTTTCAAAGTGTCTTTTTCTTAAGCTGCATTAATATGAAGATTGTTAACCAACTTTTTTTTTTAACTTTACCCTAATTTGATAATAGAGGAATAACAAAAGTTAATTAAATTAAATACACTTCTAAAACATTGTGAATCACACACACACACACACACAATCGAATAGATTTTAAACAGTTTCCTATTGTTGACATGGTGGCAGCGTGGTGGTAGCATGCCCAGTGCCCTTAGAAGATGGTTTACAAGAAAAAAAAGGGTCAAGGGGGCTTCTTTGGGTTTTATTCCAAGTCATGTGACAAATGACCAAAAATCATTCGTTGTCTCTATATTCACCACCTAGAACAATTTGAAGTACTCCCTATATTAAATTTAATTTAACATTTAAGTTAAACGATGAAAATATTTTGTGTTTAAAATATATTCTTTATATAATTTTATATTATTATTAATGATAAACTAGTTCTTCTAAAATTCCTCTAAAATACTATTTTTAAATATCCAGCAATAGACAGTATACATAATCACTTGTATAACAAAAATAACCCCGAATTACTCTTTTACAACCATCATTATTTAATTGATTAACTAATTCGTTGGTACGTTTTGTGTAAACTTCACATCCAAATTTTTATTATGTGTACAAAAAAATAAAAGGATTTGCTAAAGCTTTAATTAAATATTCGACTTATTTTTGAACTGTTTCTACATTCTGGTTCTGGGGTACAGTCGCAGGAGAGTTGAACAGATTCGAGTTTCTTTAAGGATAGTGAACCGTCAAATACTTGTCTCCAGAATGAGTGTACGTAACTGATCTCATCATACACTTATCTCCCCAAAAGGAACATTTTAGTAGCACTTTCATCATCCAGAGCCTAAAACTAAAACAAGTCTAAGCAGTGCTTAATTTTGAATCAGAATAGAGGACTTGATGCATATTTATATTGCAGAGTCAAATTCCTAACGACCCTCTATTAAAGTAACAGTAATGTCATTGGAACCAGAATTGAGTCTAGCACGTGATGATGAATCCGTCTCTGAGAAAAATCTCTCTGAATATAATCCCGGTCTTCCAGGTTGAGGGACCAAAACACTCTCACTGTCCAACATCAAAACCACTGACGACATTGTTGGCCTCTCTTCTGGATGCTGTTGAACGCATAAAAGTCCCACTTTAATGCACCTTTCAACTTCTGATGTCGGAAGCTCATTCTCAAGCAATGGATCCATCAGCTCCAATGCCCTTCCTTCATTCCACAGCTTCCATGCCTATCACATTTCCCAAGTATATATTATCAATGCATAAAGTCAAAATTATTCGATTTAAAAAGATTATATGATGCACCATAAGAAAAGTAGATAATATAAAATAAATATTCATTATTGTACTCACATGGCCTAGGAGATTCAGTTTGTGATCCGGGTGAATAAACCCTTTGTTTTTCTTGCCACTCAACAGCTCCAAGAGTAAAACTCCAAAGCTAAAAACATCTGATTTGAAAGAAAAGTTTCCATCTAATGCGTACTCTGGTGACATATATCCACTGTAACAATTGCAAAAGATCATAAAATGATTTTAGCCGTTAAAGTTCAGGAATTTGTAGAAAGTTAAGTCATATAACGTCTTTGTGCTTACTAGGTTCCAACTACTCTCTTGGTCTTTGCTTCAGTTTGATCTCCACCAAACATTCTTGCCATTCCAAAGTCAGAAATTCTTGGGTTCATTTCACTATCTAAAAGAACATTGCTTGCTTTCAAGTCTCGATGGATTATTCTTAGTCCTGAATCTCTGTGAAGGTAGAGAAGTCCCCGGGCGATGCCAATAATTATGACTAGCCTCTTTTGCCAACTGAGCACAGAACGCTTGGTTTCATCTGATTGAGAATATTATTTATTTGTCTTAGACTTCATATTATGATCAAGTGATATGTGTTTGCTCAAACTATGAGAAATGCTTAGATATGTGATTGTGGAATAATCTAGACTTGAGAGACCAACCAAATAATAAGGAGTCCAAGCTTCTGTTTGGCATGTATTCATAGACAAGCATTTTATCTTCTTCAGTAATGCAACAACCTAGAAGCTTGACAAGATTTCGATGCTGAAGTTGGGAGATTAAAATAACCTCATTCTTGAACTCCTGTAGGCCTTGTCCTGAACCCTCTGAGAGCCTTTTCACTGCTACTTCCTGTCCTGATGGAAGTTGGCCCTAAAAAATCCAACAAACCCAAGATATTGTCATCATGAGCCTGTTTTTATTGCACGGAAATGGAAACTGAGTTGGGAATTGATAAACTTGTTTAGTGGGCACTTTGAATATTTGAACTGATCAGCTACTAGAAGATACCAATCAGTTATATCAGAAAAGTTAAATTTTATTAAAACAACGTAATACTATTTTGAATAGTATCTGTTAGAGACTAGTAAGCGGCATCGTTGAATTTATAATTAATAATAAAGAGAGAGTAATTTACTTTGTATACAGGACCAAATCCACCTTCTCCAATCTTACTGTAAATAGAGAAATTCCTGGTGGCAGCTTCAATTATGGCAATCTCAAATAATGGAAGTTCAAATTCATTACTCTCACATTTAGCTCTGCCAACACTAAACTGAATACCTGTCTCTTTGGGGGCTTACAGAGGGAAAGAGCCAAGGATTAATCAGTGATAGTAATAGAAGGACACTATGGTTCAAAAAGTACAACAGAATACAGATAAAACTTTTGAAACTAGAACTAAAAGATATATTTACCTCCCTTTCTTCTGCATTTCTTAATTATCAACCATAATGCTGATATAATAATTGTTGAAGTTACAGATGCAGTCACAGGAAGCAGTATGAGTTTCTTTCTTTTGTTTCCATCAACATTTGAATCTAACACCACAAATAAAGAGAATAAATATAATGTACATAAACGAATTTTAAGGAAAATCAAACTACATTGATTATTGAGAAACAAAGAATCTCTTTAATATGATAAGTACAAAATTGTACTAAAATACAGCTAAAATTGGACAAGAACTTGACAGGGATTGGTAGCATATAACTTCAATCTTCTTACCTATTTCTGAAGCTGGAACTCTCACGTAGAATTCTTGCCCATTCACAGTAACTTCTCTGATATCAAATAAATCCCCAAACCAAGCAATACAGCCTTTGCCACTTGCATTTATATCTAACTTAGCATAAGCTACACAAGAACAGTTCTTGGAGCATTCTGCTTCACAATGATCAATGCTGATGCTATAGTTTGTATGAAACTCAGCAGCATCTGGTAGTTTCATTCCTGTAAACTGCTTAAATGCATCTCCATTGTTGCAAACTTGAGAATTCTTCCTAACACATCCACCCGACCACTCAAGCATTTCCCAATCTTGTGGAAGCCTAGGCTCAAAACCCTTCAAGCACTTGCAAATCGGAGAGCTTTTGATGTTACAAGTACCATAAGCACCACAAAGGCCATAATCATCACAATGGTCCCCTTGAACTGTGAACTCAGAGAACCAACTTGAATGATAGTCATTCCATGAGAAATGCTGAATCAAACCAGACTCACTGAGCACAAATCTTGAAATGATGTTGTCCTTAGTCTCATATGAGTAAGACACTTCATCAGAATCAAAAACAAAAATAGGTTTGAAAACCGGGTTTGCACTGAGAACTGGATCACCTTTGAATTGTTGCCCATACCATGGTCCACTTCTGAAGACTTTCTTGTTTCCCTTGCGAAGAAAAAGCTGAGGAAGGCCATGGGGATCCACACTATAAGTGTATTCTCCTGAAGAAGGATCAGAATTGCTTTTCCAGGAAGTCAAATGTCGGTTCAAGCCAGTTTTGAAGTTCCTACCAAGTTTCATTCCTGGTATCAATGTATCAGATGGATAATCAAAACTTTGCCACAAATATCCCTCATCTTCATAGTCCTTCAAAACAAAGTTTCCAGTATCTAGAAGCTGTGCAACTGGGTTTCTTGCAGGTCTAGACAAATTTGAGGACCATAGAACACTTGCTGTGTGGCTTAGAAGGATGAGGTTGCCATCATTGCTGAATGTTAAAGAACCAACAGAGTTAACTAGTGGTGTGTCTCTGTTTGCAACCCAAATAAGTGTTTGCTTTGGAATGTGCTTATACCATATTCCAAGATAGATGTATGTGGAATTGGCAGGACTAAAGAAACCCAGTTCAAAATTTTGGGCAGGAGAAATTAGTTTCTGGTTACCATTGATGGCTTGTGGTGGAGTTATGCTATCATCTGCTTCTAAAGCTATTGGAAACAATGATATCAAGTAGCAACAAGTAGCAAGAAATAAAAGGGTGAACTCTGTTTTCTCCATCGGTGTTCTGATCCTTCACGTTAATACTACTTGTAAAAGAAAAGCACGGTTCTTTAATCCTACTGTTCCCAAAATCCTATGTTGATCACTCTATGAATTTAATTTACCCCTTAAATTAAGCTAAAGGAAGAATTCTTAAAGTGGGAGCAGGTGTACCTTGAAAGGATAGTTTTACTTTTTTGAAAATCATATGAAATGGAGCTCCAAATGTTAATTTTTCAATAAATATCAGTCTGTAAAATTGATTCTAAATAAAATTAAAAGTGAAAGGCTTTTATTTAAAAAATTATATATTTTTAAATTCTTATATAATATTTTTTCTTATAAAATTATTTGTAATTAGTTAACATTAATTTTAAAAGTTGTGTTGATAAAATTATTTTTTAATCTACTGTAGAGTCTGCGCAACAGTGTTAGTTGTTAGAATTCCAAGAGTGAAAAATGCAAGTTATTTTTAAAACATTTATGTTTCAATTTAGTCACTTAAAAAAGTTTCACTCGAGTGTACAACTGATATCCGAGTCCAAAATTTTGTGTATTATTGTTTTGTCTCATATTTTTAAAATGATAATTATTTTGTAAGTTGAAATTATTTTATCTAAAATGAATAATTAATCTATTTAGCTTACTCGATTTTACTTTAGATTTCTGTAAGACTTTATTTGGATTTCAATTCTTATAATTTCACTCATTGGAATATTTGTATCTTATGGACATACATTTTAATTATTAAAAACTATAAAGATCATTTTCTTCATGAAAAAATGAAGTAATACCTCCTTTAATGAGTAAAAATTATAAGGACCAAATTTTAAATTAACTTGATGACGAATAAAATTTATCACAATTAATAAATAATTGGGATCCTTAAACATATTTAGTAACCGCTTTACTTAAAAAAAGATATTTTTTTACCCTTGACAGAGGAATATCTTTAATAAAAAGAAAACCAAGATGAAATATAACAGCTAATTTTATGTTAATGTCTCATGCAACGTCAGTCAATTTTAGGTAATCAGACTCAACAATGTATCTATAAAATCAGCACGGTGAAATATGGAACGGTTAATTTTATGTAATATCTCATGTAACGTCAACTTTAGGTCATCAAATTACTCAACGACACCAACCCATTTGCTAGTGTGGAGAGGCAACACTGACACTATTGACCCAAAAAAGAAAAAAACACAACACTGACATTAACACCTTCTATGATTAATTAACAATGTTGGAGCTACCCCATGAAAGAAGGGGCCAAGTTTGAAATTTCTTACCACAAATCAATCTCATTGGATGCATTGCAGTTTTTTAGTCACTCTCAATAACTAAATGTTACAATATTTGAACGTCACGTGTCAAGTGAGAGGAACCGCAGAGGACTCATCGTCAATGAGTGCTGGAAGATGTTGATAGCGCCAAAGACTTTTTACCAAACTCTTAACAATAAAGAAATATTAATCATTCATTGGTTTCTAAATAATAGAATGTTGAGAGTCTCGATATTATCCTTACCCCACATTCAATATTTTTCTCTGCATCTAGAATCAATACTTTTCCATGAACATGTTTAGGTGGAGCCATAAACGTCAGAAATTTGGGAATATTGAATGAGAGTTTCTTGGTATGCGTCAACTTGTGAAGTGCCTATGTACGTAGTATGTGATGTGACCGTGTTGATAGTATCAGAACATGTATCACTTCTATCAAGTGTTCATGCAGTAGTGCCTGTTTTCTTTGTTCTCTTCCTCTCTCTTTTTCTCGTGTAAAGGTTATTGTATAAATTTTTAAATGTATTACTCATTACTATATTGGCAACCATTTCAGGCTTTCCACCAAGTTAAGTCCTCAAAAGGAGTGTGGGCTTCGGCCCTTAAACCAATCAGCCTTGACTTTCATGGTTGGGCTGTGTTAAGACATTTTGTTGGGCTAGGCTCTATTGTTTTGGCTGCATCAAGCCTTGGACAACAAAATTTTGAATCTATATATTGAGAAATAAAAAACGCACGTGAGATCAGATTTCGTTGAAATTAACATAAGCAACACTTGTGTTTTAAATTTGGATGCCTTTTTCATCTTTAACACTCTAAAATGATAATTTTTATACTATTTCTATTTATCAGTGCAAAGAGGGAGAAAAGAAGTTGCACATACTGAAAAATTCAATTCTTTCATTGAAAATATTTGTTTTTAATTTATCGTTTATTTGTTTTATCACTCTGTAACCTTTAGACTACTCAAATAATATAAACGTTTTATTGATGTACAAATTTTTTTTTCTATAGGTGAAATGGTATTGATAAAATAATAACAATTAATGAATAAATAAAAAAAAATTCTTTTATCTTTTTACTGACTAATATAACGAACTTCAAAATTTTTGAACATCACAACAGCAAAATATATTTTGTTATTTTCTGACACTTTTTGAGGTCAACCCAATTAGCAGTTTTTTCAAATAGCAATGAACAGTGAACACTGCCGTTTACTTTGACTTCTGATCACCAAAATTCAAACTTGAAATCCATTCGGGATTGGTGAATTCCAACATTGCGATTCCGAATGTTTACAAAGGGAAATTAATTTGAACACTTGAGTTGAAACGGGCTTCCAAAATTGTGCACATTGGTTCACAACAATAAGAGTCACAATTTGAGAATAAATATTGTGTAAAGTGATAAATATCAATTTGAAAGACTCAGAATTGCAACCTATAAAAGAATGGTGTGAAATTGGGGTCCTCACCCCACGAGGCGCCGCCTCTATAGACATAGTTGCGTTGTGTGGTGTTGTGTTCCATAACTTGATGAGCGGTGCTTATCAAATTACGTTAAATGATTGGTCAAATTTGAACAAAGATTTTCCATGCCCTCTAGATACGATACGTCCGCCCCCGCCAATCAACTGTTCTGCGTGTATTCCCATTTCATCAAATTAGTACTATTTTATTTTTTGCATTTATCGTACAAACAGTTTTAGCATTAATTATCATTATCTTTTTTGTTCTATTTGCCCTTATATTACTTACTCTATTTTTTAATATATTTAAAAATACACTATACAAATTATTTATAATAAATTCTTATTAAAAATTATATGATATTACTGATTTCATTGCTTAAATAACATTAAATATTATAATTTTTAATAAAATTATTAATTACTTTCTTTTATATATTCTTAAACACATATTAAAACATTTTGCTTAATCAATTCATTTTCTCTAACAATTAATTATATCATTTTAATTATCAATTATATACTTCGTTTTTGTATTTGGTTTATAAAGTTTTTTTAATTAAATATTCACTTTATTTTTTTAAATTAGTATTTTATATTTAAAATTTAAAATGTTAGTCTTTTAGATTAAGAATTATCAATTATTTTAATTATTATGGTTAAAAATTATAAATTGTAGTAACAATAATTTATCATATTAAGTGATATAATAGAATTCACTTTTAACGCAAAACTGTGTCATTTTAGAATCTCTAAAATATAATTTATTTTTTTTCTCTTCTTTTAAGTTTTTCGAATTTAACATCATTTTCTTTTTTTTTATTAATTTATCTTATTCCTTTAAAAGACTATGTCATAACTAACGTCAAAACTTCCTAATCACTTTGTAGCAAACAAAATATATTCTGTTAATTATATTGATTGTCTTAACTTTTGATGTTAGAGGAGACAAAAATAATAATTTTGAAAGTACCAGTTGATAACCTTAAAGTCAAACAATAAGGTAAAAATGATTTATCTATAAAGAATGTTATGATAATTTAGAGATTTAATCAACAATTATCTCTTGAGCAAGTGAAAATTGAACTTGATTTAAATATAAGAAGAGTTAAAAAGGTATAAAAAGAAAGAGATGATTCTATAAAAGATAGTGTGATTCTCAAAACTATGACATAATAAACTAAACTATATAGGTAACTTTTAGTTTAATCATTGAAAGATTAAAAAAGATGTGGACTTTGATGATTGGCATGACATAATCTTCTTAAAAAAGAAGACAATACAAAATATAAATATTAAAATTAAAAATATCAAAATTAGAAATAAAAATAAATTATTTTTAAAAAATTTTAAAATAACATTATTTAAAGTCTAACATAAATAATGATGTATTATTTAATACGATAAATTATCATTTTATTACTCAATTATAAATTATCACTTTATAATTTAATTTTAATATTTCTTAACAACTAAATTAATCATCCATTGCTAATCTCACATAGGAACATTTAAAATTTTAAATTTAAATGACCAGTGTCGGTAATGTTGCATATTTAGTGGCTAGAAGGAAGGTTACTCTTTTTTTTTTCCCCTTAAATTCTTATCTAGAATTTGGAACGATATACATTTAATGCTTGCTCTTTCAGGTCCACCCTAAAGACTTGGATAGGCTGTGCTTATAGTCAAAAGTCAGAAAAAGTTAACACACGTTCTAACGAGTAACGACATTATGGGAACTTAAAACAACAAAGACAAATCACATTAATTATCAAAGTAAAATTAGAAATCTATGCTTCTCCACCTGGTTTGAGGAACAACTCTTGGCTTGGCACTGCAATATGAGAGTTTCCGCAACTACAAGCCTTGGTATCAACTTTTCACGGACCTTCACTTTCCTCACATTCTTTTCCAATACCGTTCTCTCCTTGGATACCTTAACTGCAACTCAATCTCTTGGAAGTAACCAAACTCTTGTGTCTCAACAGAAAGTGTTTGAGTTTGGCTTCTTTAACACTAGCAATTCCACATGGTACTTGGGCATATGGTACAAGGACTTTCCCGACAAAACATTGGTTTGGGTGGCAAATAGAGACACCCCACTTCGAAATTCCAATGGAACTCTCAAGATTGGAGACAAGGGAAACCTTGTTCTTCTTAATCAAACAGGAAACTCCATATGGTCACCACCAAATCAAACCACTGGTACCAACCCAATTCTTCAGCTTTTGGATACTGGGAACTTGATTCTCATAGAAGCAAACGAGAAAAACACCTCCAATTATCTGTGGCAAAGCTTTGATTATCCAACAGATACATTGTTACCAGGCATGAAGCTTGGCTGGAACCTTGACACTGGGGTGGAGCGCCGCATAACATCATGGAAGAGCCAAGATGATCCATCAAATGGGGATGCTTATTTCAGCCTAGAATATCATGGGATCCCAGATGTGTTCTTTTGGAACAAAAAGGAAAAAATTTTTAGAACCGGACCATGGAATGGTGAGAGGTTTGGAGGAGTACCAGTGCTAAACGTAATTGCTGTTCTTAATGATAAAGTAGTTGCTAATGAACATCATGTGTATTATGTCCCTTCAACACTCAACCAATCTCGTTTGTCAAGACTTGTTGTGAATTGGACAGGTTCAATTGAACGCTATGCATGGATAGAGAGCAGCAAAACGTGGAACAAGATATGGTTTGCACCTGCTGGAGATTGTGATCATTATGGATTGTGTGGTCCCTTTGGTATCTGTGACTCAAATGGTTTCCCTGTGTGCAAGTGTATTCAAGGATTCAATGTCAAGAATCAGCCGCAATGGGACTTGAGGAATTTTTCTGATGGGTGTGTTAAGAAGACAAAATTGGAATGTGGGAAGGACAGGTTTTTGCACATGACAAACGTGCAGTTGCCAGATACCACGAGGGTGTTTCTCAACAATAGCATGACCTTATTGGAATGTCGAAACACGTGCCTCAACAATTGCTCTTGCACTGCCTATGCTAATGCAGAGATTACTGGTGGTGGCTCTGGTTGCGTGATGTGGAGTGATAATCTCGTAGACGTGAGGCAGTTTTCCGAACTTGGCCAAGATCTCTTTGTCAGATTAGCAGCTTCTGATGTAGGTAGGTTTCTTTTATGTTTTATTCCCTTAATCATTAGTTTTAATATTTCAGGTTGGCATTGTTAATGAATATTAGATTAAGATATAATATAGTTTACCTTGTCTTAATATTTTATTTAGGAGTTAGGAAGAAGCCCAAAGGCGGCTAAATTTAATCCAAATCTCTATACTAAAAAGCTTTGTTACTTCTCAGATGACAGTGGCACTGCCACAGGATCTGCTGGTGGCTCTAACAAGAATGTAGGAAAGATTGCAGGCATTGTAGTTACTGTAACATTTATAATTTTGGGAGTGAGTATATTCATTTTGTGGAGGAAAAGGAAATTGCAGAGTACATCTAAAGGGAATACTGGGAAGAGTGGTAATGTCCATTACCTAATGTAGATAATATGTATTTAATATTTATCTAACCATGCTACTTCACATAATATTTTGTTCTCTCTCTATTCTCTTAATTAGATTATTCTTTCTGATAAGTAAGATGTTTTTGTTGTTCTCTCTAAACCAGGTAATTTTGAAAGGGGTGAGACAACGCTGTTACCTGACACAATATTTTCAAATGATGGAGAACATTCAGATGAAAGGAGTATGGATGACAGGGAGTTGCCATTGTTCGATTTTAATACCATAAAAGAGGCTACAAACTTCTTCTCTTTAGCAAATAAACTTGGAGAAGGAGGCTTTGGAAGTGTTTACAAAGTAAGTTTCTTTTATATATGTATATGCTACTATCATTGAATTTTTCACAAAGCACTCATTAACACCTAAAGTAAATGTGGCAACGGCAGGGTAGGTTGGTGAATGGCCAAGAAATTGCCGTTAAAAGGTTATCAACAAGCTCCGGGCAAGGAAATGAAGAATTCAAGAATGAGGTTAGATCAATTGCAAAGGTTCAACATAGAAATCTTGTAAGACTGTTTGGTTGCTGCATTGAGAAGGACGAGAAGATGTTGATCTATGAGTACATGGAAAATAATAGCCTAGACTCTATTTTATTTGGTGAGTTATTTTAACATTATACATGCAGTTTTCACCTTCAAACATATACATTTATGATAACTAATAAAAAAACTCTTTCCAGACAAAGCAAAGAGTTCCAAACTAGACTGGCCAATGCGCTTCAACATTATATGTGGAATAGCTAGAGGACTTCTTTATCTCCATCATGATTCCAGGTTTAGAATTATCCATAGGGATCTCAAGGCAAGCAATATTCTACTTGATAGAGAAATGAATCCAAAGATATCAGATTTTGGAATTGCTAGAATTTTTGACAATGATCAAACACAAGCGAATACAAGGAGAGTTGTTGGAACATAGTGAGTACTATGGTAGCACCTTCATTTTGTTTAAATTACCATGTGCAATGACCTCTTTATTAATGTATCTTTCTGATATGCAGTGGTTATATGTCACCTGAATATGCATTGGGTGGATACTTTTCAGTAAAATCTGATGTTTTTAGTTTCGGGGTTCTTGTACTGGAGATCATAAGTGGCAAGAAGAACAGAGGATTTTATTCCTCAGAGGACATAAATCTTCTTGGGCATGTAAGTAAAAATTTTAAGCTTACTTGGATGATGACAATTTATTATTATTATTATTATTATTATCATCTTCTGCTAATGGGAATTTTGTTGTGTACATGTGATAGGCTTGGAGGCACTGGAAAGATGAGAGTGCGTTGGAACTGATAGATTCATCATTTGCTGATTCTTTTTCAGTCTCTGAAGTTCTAAGATGCATACATGTTGGGCTTATATGTGTCCAAGAACGAACAGAAGACAGGCCCACAATGTCTTCTGCGGTGTTGATGTTGAACAGCGAAACTGCATCATTGCCACAGCCCAAACACCCTGGTTTCATCCTTGCAAAGGGTCCTAAAGAAACTGATTCTTCTTCAGGTGTTCAAGACGAAATGCACACGATAAACCAAGTAACAGTTACAATAGTAGATGGCAGGTAGGAGATTAAGTTTGACATGTATATTAAGTATAGAATTTTATATTTTTATCAATTTTGAGTTGTATTAGCCAATGGTCATGAATTATATATAATAAATACACTAGTTAGATCCAAATTGAGTACCTTTATCGTTTCAAAAGTGCAAATGCTTGTGCGATAGATTAGGATTTGAAACAAGTAGAACATCAATTTGGTCTTGAAATTATTATTATTAATTAATGTAGTCTTTGACATGACAAAAATGTTGACTTGATTTATTTAAAAATTAATACCACCAATTAATTTATTTTTCATGTTTTGAAAAAGTAAAGAAATGACGATTATTTTATTCAATCTGTCATTTCAAAATATTATTAAGTCGTCAGTTTTTGTGAAGTGTTTACATGATTCTTAAGAAACATTGGATCGAAAAAAAAATATAATATTTATAAAAGACTAAATAGAAAAGGTCATGATGTTTAGATGGATAAAAAAATAAACAAAATCAAAACTTAATAGATAAAACTAACTAAAAAAGAAAACTACATGGGAAATAAAATATTTTAGAAGGATTTAATTTCAATCTTTTAAAAAATAGGAAATCAAATTGAAAGATTACAATATTTTGAGGGAATAAAAACTTAATTTGGAGATAAAAGTCTTTAACTTTAATATTTATTGGTCAAATTAGTTCTTAATATTGGCGTGTTTGACTGTGGGCATGTCAATTTTGTCTTTGACATTAGTGTGCAATAGACATATTAACAAACATTTATGAAAAGTCACGAAGCAAACTTGTCTTTTGTAATGTTTGAGATAAAATTAATTGATAATGCTAAATTAATTAACTTTACTCAAAATTAAGGTTTAAATTTACCTTTTCATAAACCAAATCGACTGCTCAGAACTATTTCAAAGAACACATGGATATTTTACTAAATTTGGGACAGACATAACAGTAAAATACTCACAAGATGGTGGTCGGGGACGAGGTATACAATGTCGTATACTTGTTACCTGAATGGCATATTTAAAACCACTACAGTTATAAACTGTATTAAATTAAATAGCATATTAGATTAATGTGATCACTTTTCACCAAGTCTTCCCTCGTGGCATCTAGGATCTGGTCCAAATCTAGTACTGTATAAATTGGGATGAGATGTATGGTGCTGATACATAGACAACCCGAGCAATTATTCAGTGAGAGTCTACAATTACATTTCAGTTAACCTCCGATGAATTAAATCAAGAAAGTATGCATACCCAGCTCTGAAAGTCAGAAGACACTAATTCAATCTTGATGTTACTACGAAGAAAAAGGAGCAGACTTGTAGAACTTGGAATATTTCATACCAAACAATCTCAATATCAAAAGAAATTGTCGTGGACATGAAGAAGCCTAAACCTTACGAATTACGAACTATATGCCTTGAGAGGATCAACTCTTAGTCTCTAGCCTTAGCACTAGGACATGGGAGCTTCTACTAATTCCCATATCTACCTAACATTTTGCTTCAGTTTCTTTAGCAATATTGTGGTATCTCTGGACACCGTAACTGTAATCCAATCTCTTAGAATTAACCAAACACTTGTATCTCCGAAGGAAGTGTTTGAGTTTGGCTTCTTTAGCCCAAGCAGCTCCATATGGTACTTGGGTATTTGGTACAAGGACATTCCTGACAAAACAGTAGTTTGGGTGGCAAATAGGGGTTTTTTCTCCCGCATAGGGTTAAAGGAGAAACAAATTCTCTATATGGGACTGTTTCATAATAAGGTGGAAGCAATATCGAAAGATATATGGCTGTCATAGGAATTTTTTTTTTTAAATTAATAGTGTCGTCAAACTGGTAACTGACACTTTTAAAAATATTAACGGACTGATTTTTATAATACTGATCTATGGTTGCAAACTAAACACGTAGAGGTTCTTGAGTGTGTCGGACGGTTCAGATCTGACTTTAGTGTCGATACTGCGTTGGATGACACCAATGCCTACATGTTCAGGACCGACACACACGTTGATTGGTCCACGCGGCAATGTTGCAGGAGGCACGCCGCTCGTCCCTCCCTCTCTCCCTTGGTGTTTCTGCTGTTCATCTTCTTCGTTTTATAAGTGAAAAAGGCAAAAAATTTTGGTAAAACAAAAACGTAGAAGAAGAAGGGGTGAGCGATTTTTCCATTTTTAAAAATTTGTAAGGTAAGAATTAATGATTTTTTTTGTATATTGATATAATTATGAATATTTTTTGAAAAATATAATTTCTTTTATCCATTTTTGTTCCCATTTCAGGAAGATTGCAATCTTGCGAAAGGGGGCTTTCGCAGGATTCTCAACTCAAAGGTTAGTCAACATTTAGATTATAATTTATTTTGTTGTAATTTTATGCATGTAAAAAATAGAAAAATAGGAGAATAGAAAAATAGAAAAATAAAAAAATATTTAAATTAAAATTTATAATTTTCTTGTTATTTATGTAGAAAACTATATTTAAAAGTAAAAATAATGATGATATTATTATTGTTATACAAATATTATTATGTTAAAATAAAAAAATAATTAAATTAAAAAAATATATAAATATAAATTAATTGAGAAATATAAAAAAATTAAATTAAATAAATATATGAGGAAGAATTATATGTGATTATTATAATGTTAATAAAATATAAAAATAATTATAACAAAATAAAATTGAAATAATAAGAATGAAATATGTTAATTAATAAATTTATATTATTAAAAAATTGCAGTTGTTAAATTTGTAATAATATTTCAACAAATATTATGTTATATAATTAAGAAATAATAAATAATTTAAAATTGTAAAAGATAAAAATATAGTTATTCATCACTTAATTATACATTGGATTAATTTAAAAAAAATTAGAGTAAAAGAATAAGGAATTAAGTGAAAAAAAATTAGAGTAAAAAAATAAGGAATTTGCCACATTCACATTCACGTGTATCACACTTAACTTATGACCTCCCTTTGTGTCATTGGATTAAAAGCCTCTTCAACCTCGAACCTTGTACTTTATATGTCGTAACGATGAATCTGATGTGAAGATGTTTTTTCTTGATTTTTTTCTATAGCTTCAAGTAATTTACGATAATACCTTTTACCATTGTTCATGTCATTATTGCGCTTTCACCCTACTTCACAAAATATTCGACCAATCTACTATAGGTTGCTTTGACAAGGGCAATAATTGGGAGATTTCTTGCCCCTTTTAAAATTTTATTCACTGACTCTGACAAATTAGTCGTCATGTGACCATAACGCCGTCCTTCATCATCATAAGCTAAACTTCACTTTTCCTTTGATATGTTGTCAATCCATATTTGAACTTCAGGAGAATGCGAACGGAATGTATTAAGCTTCGCTTCAAATCTTTGTTTACAAGGTGTATATGCTACATTTAAATAAGTTATATGGTTAATGGTGAAAAATAAGAATATATTCATAAATAATGTAAAATTTAATAATTATAAAATACTTACCTAACTTCATAAGCATACTCTTCAAGGTGGAGTTTTTTAATTGAAATTGCTTGCAATGTGACAAATGCAATAAACATGGTAAACATTAGGAGGTTGTCACCCAATGTGTGGGTTGGACACATACCTTTAATACTTTGATGGCGATCAAATATCAAACAAATTCCAGTTTTATCAGTAACATTTAGACAGATCATGGTTAAGAACCATTCCCATGCTGATAATGTTTCTCTTTCAACAATAGCAAATGCTATAGGAAGGACATTGTTATTGCCATCTTGAGTTGTAGCAATTAGCAATGTTTGCTTATACTTACCATACAAAAAGGTACCATCTACCTGTATTATAGGCTTGCAAAATTTGAAGGCTTCACGACATTGCCTAAATGACCAAAATAATCGATGAAAGACTCTGAATCTATTATATCCATTACATTATCTCTCACATAATCATTGATCTCAATTTTGTAAACTGACCTTGGAGCATGTAATTGCATGTATTCTAACCATTTTGGCAATGCTGCATGAGATTCATCCCAATCACCAAATATTGTCACAATTGTTTTTTGCTTTACTTTCCATGCTTTTTTGTATGAAACTGAATACCCAAATTGGCCACTTATTCTCTCTTGGATTAATGAAACGGGAACAAAATGTTCTTTTTTGACCATACCTGTCAATAAAATTAAACAATACGTCGCAGTTAATGATCATTTCAAAATCATTTTAAATACACAAATAACAATAGTCTCAATTGAGTTTCACGTACCAATATTGCATGAACAAATAATATTTGAATCTAACTTTTTGTGATTTTGAGAAATCATAGTATTTACGTAGGTATGCATACCACCCCATCTCGTAATTTTTCACTTATTTGAATTTTTGGGTAGCAATGCTCTTACTTTCCAAGGACACCCGAAATTATGATTCACAAACTTGACAAAATGAGTTGATGTTTTTGACTCAATCACAAAAAATGTTTGATGTTTCTTCATTGCATAATGTTTTATCACAATTTTTACCTCTTCTTTAAAGTCAAAGAGTTGTCCAACATATAATGCATCTCCTTGTACCCATGATTGTGACGAATGCAACTCAGAAAAATTCAATTCTTGATCAAGATATTCCCAATTAATAGCAGTGTAGTGTGAACTTATGTTACAAAAAGGTGTTGTAGAATCTTTATTAAACTCAACTAATGTTAGTTAAAAATATTTTACAATTATTGTATTATATAAAGTTGTATCTGTAGATCGTCCTTGCATATCTTATCTCTTTCAGTGTTTAGAATATTCATCGTTGAATCGAAACCATCTTCCAAATTAGTATAAGAAGAACTATCTAAAAGAATTTCTCCTTCATCTTCATAGTCATCATCGTACTCATCTTCTTAGTCATCATCGTACTCATCTTCTTCATCTGTAGATGCAGCAGCAAATATTTATCAATAAATTATAAAATTTTAAACATCATATAATTTAAATAAATACTATACATTACCTCTTCCAATTGCATACTCTTCTTTATTGTCACTAACATTAACAGTTAGGAGTGATAAATTTAAACATAACAAAGTTTCATCTACATGAGAAGTTTCACCAACCACAATATCCACATATAACTCAACTACATTTCTTTGATGTTGTTTTTGACAAGCACTTATTATACAGTCAATGTCTTCATCGTCACATACATCTAAAATTGTGTAGTTTCCAATCCTTGCATAAACTAAAATTCGTGAAATTAGTTTAGAAATTACATTACTATTGCACAATCTCAATTTTGTATGTATTTTTTTTAACATCTCAAAAGTAATTCTACGTTTTATTTTAATCATTTTCTTATTCCCTTCAAATATGATACCCTTATTTCCTTCGTACACTCTTCCATTCCAGTATAAAATAACCACAATTTCAGTCATCCTATATATCAAATTAAAAAATACAGCCAAAATTATTACAAAAGTATATCTAAACAAATAGTAACAAAAAATATTACAAAAATATTAAAATAAAAAAGATTTACATTTATATTTTCAATAATATTATATGAACATTAAATAATTTAATTAATTACTACAAATATTTTTAATTTTATTAATTCATAATAATATTAAAATTATTAATTCAAACTTAATTGCAATAATTAAAAAATTTAAAAGAATAAATTAATAACATTCTAACCTGAAGTTTCTTCTAGCGGAGCTTCTTCAAAATTTTTCGCAACCAATACACACACGTCCGCCTATATATATATATGCATTTTAATTGGATAAAAACTTTTGGATAAAAGGCTAACTTTTGTTTTGTCCAGTGGACTGTGGGGTGAACGAGAAAAGTGTCGGCGTCAAAACAACTGACACAGGGTAAGTGTCGGCATTCTTCCAGCCAATACACAAGTGTTGCCAAAAATATAGCCAACACACATGTGTCGGAGCACAATGAGCCGATACATATGCCACATAGCAATATTTACACTTAGTGTCGGTAGTTTTGTGGCTGACACTTTACACTGTGTCGCCAGAACATTTTATGACACTTTCATATCACCTTAGACTCGGTATTTGTTATGAAACAACCCCATATGGAGAATTTGTTACTCCTTTAACCCCATGCAGGCAAAAAACCCAGCAAATAGAGACACCCCACTTCAAAATTCTAATGGAACTCTCAGGATTGGAGACAAGGGAAATCTTGTTCTTCTTGATCAAACACGTAAATCTGTATGGTCACCACCAAATCAAACCACTGGTGCAAATTCGGTTCTTCAAATTTTGGACTCTGGAAATTTGATTCTCAAAGAAACAAACAAGAACGACACTATTGTTGGAGTTTAAAAAATGAAAATAGAGAAGAACAGGGACAAGTACATCAATAATTTTGAAGAAGGAATACATTTGAATTAATCAGCAACAATTCAATAAATAAAGAAAAGTAAATCACGTAATCAAGATATCAGCAAATGTGGATAATAAAAACTAACTTGCTCCTAAAGTGTAAGAACCACTTATTGATTAGGACGCCTATCTAATAAACTAAAAACGGTAAAAAAAATAATTTAACTTACAATAACAAAAGCATATGTTTAACACTCCTTCTTACTTTAGGAATTGCAAACTCTAATTTTTTGCCTTAAAAGTTCAAATTTGCTAACAGGCAGTGGCTTTGTAAATAGGTCGGACAATTGATCTTTAGACTTGCAGTAAACAAAAGTTTACTTCTCCACTTTACTGCATCTCTCTCAAGAAGTAGAGCTTGATGTTGAAATGTTTAGTCTTCCCATGACACACCAGATTGTTTGCAATTGAAATTGCTGCTTGATTGTCAAACAAAAATTTCAGTTTTCTTCATCTGTTGTATATGTAAATCACATAAAACCTTCTTCAACCATAGAGCTTGATTTACAACTGATGTTGCTGCTATGAATTCAGCCTCTGCAGTAGATTATGCTACAATCTCTTGCTTCTTTGTGCGGCATGAGAAAACTCCTGAGCCTAGGCTGAAATAGTATCCTGAAGTACTCTTCATGTCATCAATGGATCTAGCCCAATCACTATTAGAGAATCCATGCAACCTGAATTCTTGACACTTCTCAAATTTGACACCATAATAAACAGTGCCTTTGACATACCTTAATGTTCTTTTAGCTGCTCTTAAATGCATTTCACTAGCATAATGCATAAATTGAAACAAGAGGCTTACAACAAATAGAATGTCTGGCCTTGTTGCAGTGAGATACATTAGACATCTAATCAAGTTTTGATAATATTCTTCATCAATTTTTTCAGCACCATCTTTTTTGCTTAACTTCTCCTTTTGACTCATTGGTGTGCTAACAGTTCTGCATTCCTCAATTTGAAATTTCTTTAATATTTCCTTTGCATATTTTCTTTGACAAATGAACACTTCATTCTCACTTTGTTTGATCTCAATTCCAAGAAAATAGGTCATGAGACCAAGATCTGTCATTTCAAAAGCTTGCATCATTTCTTGCTTAAACTCCTCAACAAGCCTTGTGTCGTCTCCGGTCACTAAAAGATCATCAACATAGAGGGAAACTATGAGAAGGTTATTTCCCTTATGTTTCACATAAAGAGTGGACTTCGATAAGCTTTTTGTAAGGCCTATACTCAATAGGTGGTCATTTATCCTGTTGTACCAAGCCCTTGGCGCTTGTTTTAGGCCATAGAGGGCCTTTTTGAGTTATCTTCTTCACCTAGCTTCATGAATCCTTCTGGCTGTTCCACGTATATTTCTTCTTGTAAGTCTCTATTTAAAAAGGCTGATTTAACATCTAATTGGAATATTTTTCAGCCTTTTTGCACAGCTACTGTTAGCACTAATCTAATTGTATCTAATCTAGAAACAAGAGCAAAAGTGTCAAAATAATCAATACCAAAAATTTGTGCATACCCTTTAACTACAAGTCTGGCCTTGTACTTGTTGATTGAGCAATTTGTATTAAGCTTTATTCTAAAAACCCATTAACTCCAATAACTTTTCTGTCTTCTGGCCTGTCAACTAGCTCCCACGTTTTATTTTTCTGTATCATAGACATCTCCTCCTCCATTGCAATTTTCCATCTTGGGTCTTTTAGTGCTTCCTCACAACTAGAAAGTTCACAAACTGCTACATTACATCTTTAATAGACGTCGGATACCAGCCTTTTGCCTCTGATTGGAGGTTCATTTTCTAATTCATTCTGTAACAGCTTTGTTGTTTGCTCTCTAGGATGATTATCTCTAATGTTGTGAAAGGATTCAGTTGTTCTTTGTGAGTTCTTCCAATCCAATTGCTGACCTTCATTGAAGTGCACATCTCTGGTGATAGTCATCTTTCCGATTTGAGGATGATAGACTTTGTTTGCTTTTGAAACTAAACTATAACCCACAAAGATACCCGGAATTGCCTTCTTGTCAAGTTTGTCACGCTTAACCTATGGAACATGTGCAAAACAAACACAGCCAAACACTTTAAGAAAGGTTAGTGAAGGCTTATACCCATACCAAGCCTCAAATGAAGTTTTATCTTTCAAGGCCTTGGTTGGAAGTCGATTTTGCAAAAAAACTGCTGTATTAGCTGCTTCTCCCCAAAATGTTTTAGGTAGCTCATTCTCATGCAACATGCATCTAGCCATCTCCATCATTGATCTGTTTCTCCTTTCACTAACCCCATTCTGCTGAGGAGTGTAAGGTGCTGTCAATTGATGTTCGATCCTAGCTTTATCACAAAATTGATTAAATTGTGCTGACGTATACTCCTTCCCATTGTCCGATCTTAGACATTGAATCTTGCAACCACTTTGAGTTTCCACCATTTTCTTGAACTTCATAAATACTCCAACCACTTCATGCTTGAATTTCAAGAGAAAAATTCAGCACATTCTTGTAAAATCATCTATGAAAAGAACAAAGTAGAGACTACCTTATAGTGATGGTGTTCTTTGAGGTCTTGCCACATCAGTGTGAATTAACTGCAATTTGTGAGAGGCTCTCCAAGCTGATTTGGGGAATGACCTTCTGCTTTGTTTACCAAATTGACAAGCATTACAATTTGGCAAATTGTCAGAAAGTATTGGTAAACCTTTTGACATGTCTTCTTCATATTTAGCTTTCTTTCAATATGGTAATGACCAAGTCTCTTGTACCAGAGTTATGTGGGACTAACTTGAGTGTAATAGGCTATCTGCTCCTCCTCTGTTGGATCAAATACGTAGCTTTTACCTCTTATTTTAATCCTTAGAACCTCCCAGCCAGCAATGTCATAGATAAGGCAGTGTTGTTGTTCAAATGATACTTTGAATCCTTTTTCAATCAATTGACCTACACTCAGTAAGCTTTGGTCAATGTCAGGTACAAAAAGAACATCTGAGATTATTTTTGTACCTGAACCTGTTGAAATTGCTATGGTTCCTTTTCCTTTTGCAGAGATATAGCCACTATTTCCTATTTTGACCTTTGAGACATTAGTGGGCTTCAAGTCCTTGAATAGAGTTTTGTCATATGTCATGTGGTTTGTACAACCACTGTCAATTAGCCAGCATTCTGAATTACTCCTTGTCGAAAAACATGTTGCAGCAAAAATGTGATCTTCTTCTTCCTGCTCAACAACTTAGGCATCAGCTTCATGTTGCTGAAATTTGCTTTTGCAGATCACATCTTCGTGTCCAAGCCGATTGCATTTGTTGCATTTTGCTTCTGGCCTTCTCCAACATCTGAATGGTGGATGACCCATTTTGCCACAATGCTTACAAGGTGGATAATTTTTCTTTTTGCCTTCACCTTTACTTTGATTGTTTGCAGCACGTTCTCCTCCTTAATGCTTGGCCGGTAATGCACCTTCAACCACATGATCCTGTCTTATAAGCCTCCGTTGCTCTTGAGCCTGCAAGGCATGTAACACCTCTACCAAGGGGATCTTGGACAAATCCTTTGTGTTCTCTAGGATGATTATTGATGCTTCATATCTTTCAGGCACTGTAACTAAATTTTTTTCTATAATTCTAGAATCATCCCAATAACCTTACCTTATTAGCAATGCTCAGCAACCTGTCTGAGTACTCTTTGATTGTTTCAAATTTTTTCATTTTTTGCAGCTCAAATTCTCTCATTAAATTAAACACTTGCATGCCCCTTATCCTTTCATCTCCTGCATACTCCTCCTTCAAATAATTTCAAATTGCTTTTGTTGTTTTTAACGTTATAATCCTAGTGAAGACGGTTGTTGAAACACTAGCAAAAAGGCATGATTTGGCCTTTGCCTTCTTGGTTTTTCTCTTCCTGTGACTTTTCAGTTGGGCCATGGTAGGATTTTCTGGCAGCGAATGAACAGTGTAATCCTCTTTCACAGCTTTCCATAGATCCAATGCCTCTAGGTAGGACTCCATTCTCACTACCCAAAGGTCATAGTTCTCCCCATCAAAGATGGGAGGAGCAATTTGGGAAAAGCTTGTTTCAGCATCCATTTCACAGGTCCCGTAAGAAAACCGCTGTGATACCAGTTTGTTGGAGTTTAAAAAATGAAAATAGAGAAGAATAGGGACAAATACGTTTTGTTTTATAATTTTGAAGAAGGAATGTATTTGAATTAATCAGCAATAGTACAATAAATAAAGAAAAGGAAACCACGTAACCAAGATATCAGCAAGCGTTGATAACAAAAACTAACTTACTCCTAAAGTGTAAGAACTACTTATTGACTAGTACGCCTATCTAATAAACTAAAAATGGTAAAAATAAATAAATTTAACTTGCAGTAACAAAAGCATATGTTTAACAACTACCAATTCTTTGTGGCAAAGCTTTGATCATCCAATAGATACACTGTTACCAGGTATGAAGCTGGGTTTGAACTTGGACACTGGCGTTGAGCACCGTTTAACATCATGGAAGAGCCTAGCTGATCCATCAAGTGGAGATTTTTCCTTCAGAATGAAACACAGCGAGCTCCAGAACTTTTCCTTTGGAACAAAGGTCAAGGTATATAGAAGTAGGACGTGGAATGGTCTAGTTTTCACTTCATTACCTGTACTGAATCCAAAATTTATTCTTCAAGATAACATGTTTGGGGATGCACACAAGGTATACTACATCATTTCAAATGTGAATCAGTCAAGGCATACTAGAGTTACAATCATTTGGACAGGTGAAATTCAACGCCTTGTATGGATAGAAAGCAGCCAAAGTTGGAACAAATTATGGTATGGACCTAAAGATGAATGTGACAAATATCCTACGTGTGGTCCATATAGTATCTGTACTTCAAGTACTTTCCCAGTATGCAGCTGCATTCAAGGTTTCAATGTAAGAAACCAGGAGGAGTGGAATTTAAGAACTTTTTCTAGTGGGTGTGTGATAAACACAGCACTAGATTGTGGGAATGACAAGTTTCTGCATCTGCAGCATGTGCAACCACCAGAAACAACTATGGTATTTGTGAACAGGAGCATGACCCTTGTAGAATGTGAAGGTATGTGCATGAAGGATTGCTCTTGCACCACTTATGCAAATGTGGAGATTACTAATGGAGGGACTGGTTGTGTGATGTGGACTGATGAGCTCTTAGACACGAGGCAGTTTTCTGATGGTGGCCAAGATCTATATGTCAGATTAGCAGCTTCAGATGTAGGCGAGTTTCTTTAATCTTTTATTCCCTTATGGCTAGTTTATACTTTATAATGTATAATATATTTTTGGGTCTAAAGATTCCTTTCAAGTAGTAAAATATTTGAATAGTAATGTTAATTGTGATTATGATTCATGGCCACAAATTGGATTCAGTAATGAGGTAATGACCCTCTACAGTAGGTCAAATGTCAATAAAATACATTAATATTTCTTTTTTCCAGAAGTCATTGACACAGGATCTGCAGTTAGCACTCCAAAGGAAAATAATACAGGCAAGGTTGTGGGCATTATTGTTGCTGCAGCTATTGTGTTTTTGGGAATGATTATCGTTTTCTTATGGAAGATGAGAAAATTACCTAGTATTTGGAAATGGAAATGGAAAGCCTCAGAAAAAGGTAATACAAAATTAATGTCCATCATTAGAAACTATGGTGATATGTTTCTTCTTGTTCTGCTTCATGTAATGCTTTTCTTGAACCAGGTGCTTTAGAGAGAAATCAGCATCTTCGGGTAATACTTTCAACTATTAGAGATTCCTCAGGTGGAAGGAATATAGATCACCTGCGGTTGCCATTGTTTGATTTCAACACAATAACAATGGCTACTAACAACTTCTCAGAAGCAAATAAACTCGGACAAGGAGGTTTTGGCAGTGTTTACAGGGTGTTTAGTCATTGTTTTAGAAAAATATTTTTATATTGCTGTCATTGTATATTCTAAAAATCTCAAAGGATGGTTTACACACTTAACACTAACACAAATAACTGGGGCAATACCAGGGTAGGTTGGTTGATGGCCAAGAGATTGCCGTGAAAAGGCTATCAAAAACCTCAGGGCAAGGAAATGAAGAATTCAAGAATGAGGAAAAATCAATTGCTAAACTTCAACATAGGAATCTTGTTCGACTTTTTGGTTGCTGTGTTGAGAAGGAGGAGCAGATGTTGGTCTACGAATACATGGAAAACAACAGCCTAGAATCTATTTTATTTGGTGTATATTTTTATCTTTCTGCACCTTTGAACTTTCAACATGCCTTCCCTCCAAGCTTATAAGATCTTGAAAAACCTTTCCAGACAAGGACAAATGTTCCTTACTTGACTGGCAAATGCGCTGCGACATAATATGTAAAATAGCTAGAGGGCTACTTTATCTCCACCATGAATCCAGACTAAGAATTATCCATAGGGATCTCAAGGCAAGTAATATTCTACTTGATAGAGAAATGAACCCAAAGATATCAGATTTTGGAATGGCTAGAATTTTTGGCATTGGTCAAACACAAGCAAATACAAGGAGAGTTGTAAGAACATAGTGAGTACCATACTAACACCTTCCATTTTTAAGATGCTATGCCCCTATGATCTTATTGTTAATATATTCCCACATACATGCAGTGGTTATATGTCTCCTGAATATGCAATGGATGGGCTATTCTCAGTGAAATCTGATGTTTTCAGTTTTGCGATTCTTGTGTTGGAGATAGTAAGTGGCAAGAAGAACAGGGGATTTTATTCCAAAGAAGACATAAATCTTCTTGGGCATGTAAGTGAAATAGCCAAGTTGCAGAATGGTAATCATTAACTTTATCTTCCGATAATGGCAATTTTATTGTGTTGTGATAGGCATGGAGGCTTTGGAAAGAAGGGAGAGCAGTGGAACTAATAGATTCATCATTTGCTAATTTCCATTTAACATCACAAGTTTTGAGATGCATACATGTTGGCCTTGTATGTGTTCAAAATTAAGCAGAACATAGGCCAACAATATCTTCTGTGGTCTTGATGCTTAGTAGTGAAATTGCATCAATACCTGAGCCTAGAAAACCGGGTTTTATCCTTGGAAAGAGTCATGCTGAAACTGATTATTCAGTTAATCAAGAAGAATCATACACAGTGAACCAAGTCACAATCACAGAAGTAGATGCTAGGTAGGGAAGAAATCTACACTGCAACGTTCACCTTGATGAATGATGATCTTTGCTTATTATGTTTCACTACAAATTTAAGCACTTGGGATTTTCTCTCGCAATTCAAATTGTAAGAAGCAATACTGAGTCTCCCTGAATCCCACGGTTATAATTAATACTTAAGTTCTCGCTGTAATATCGCACGATATTTTTCTATATATTTTTTAATTTTTAAACTTATAAATTTATTAATTTATCTTTTAATAAGTTATAATTTATTTCATCTATTTTTGTAATTATTTTTAAAAATTTTCAGAGAAGGACTGTAAAAATACAATAATTTTTAACGAAGTATAAAATTATTCTTATATGTGTTATGTTGAGAAAATTAAAAAAAAATACAATGATATAATGCTCAACATCGTGGGAAAACTATTTATTTTGTTAATAATTTATTATAAAATAAATATTTATTTAATTAAAATTTTAAAATTTATGCATGTAAGAGGATAAAATTAATATTATTGACCTTTAAATCGTTTTAATTTTTATAGGAAGCTGAAATTATAAAAAAAAATTTATATTTGACAATTTTTATAACTTAATAAAATGACTTATTTAATGTTATTTTATGGATTTTTTATATCGATATTCATATTAAATGAAAATTTTTAAATATTAAATTAATATATTTATATTTCTTTAGTAATTATAATAATTTTTTTTATTAAAACACTGTCTAAAATAAATAAAAAATATTTAATATTATCATTAATATATTTAAAAAATTAATAATATATATAAATACTTATTTTTCAAATATATTCATTGTATGGCTATGAACTGTTCATATAAAATTTTGAGTGACTGGATTTACTTAAACTTATAATGCCTGGTCAGCATATCCACAGATCACAAGGCTGATGCAGTGGTCGTCTTTAACCCTAAAATTAATTGACTTTAAAATTCTAATTGTACATGTTTACCTTTGATGTAAAGTTATTTTATTTTAAAACAAATTTGAAATATTTAAATATATTATAAAAATTAGATATATAAAAATTAAAAATTTTGCATGATTATAAAATTAATTAAATATAATACTTTAATAAAGATTAGATCAATTTTGATATATATTTTAATAAAAATATGATTTACATATATAGTATTATTATGTTAAAAAAAATATAAATATCTAAAGTACACAAATTTATATATGATATTATGATAAATAAAGAAGAGTAAAAATTATCCTAATATTAAAAATAAATTTATTATAATTAACTAAAGAAAAGAAAAGTAGTTGAGAATAAAATAAAATTTGAGAAAAAAATGAATAAAAGTAATAGATTTCACAATTTCTAACAAATAAAATATGATTTTTGTTTATGAAATCAAATATGTTACTTAGACTTTTAACTAAAGGTAAATATTTGATGTTTGCTTGTTTTCAAGGAAAGTCTCGACTAACAGAAAGGGAAGAATTTGAAGTATATCATTATATAAAAAACAAAAAGAGTAACACTACTAAATACAAACAATAAAATAAAATTTCAATTAAAATCTTATATTATCTAATTTTTCATCCAAATATCAAATTAGGGCATTCTATTTTTTCTTTCTCTCTGAGTCTAAAGACAAAAAAAAAGATGTCAATTTCTTTCATAGGAAAGTGTACTGCCACATGCTTAACCATAATCTGACTCTCTACTATGTAAATTAAATGCATGTAAAAATAACGAGGTCTTTTTTAGATTATAATATGATTAAAAGAGTTTTAATAAACTCACGTGAGATAGTTGAAAAGGAAAGGTATATAAAGGAGAATAAGCAATGAAAATCAACAAAAAAATTCTAAGCTTATAAATGAACCTCTTGGGGTACCTTATATATTTTATATGCAACTAATTTCTTACTTCTCCTTCCTTTCTTATATTTGTACCCCTTTTTCTCTTCTCTTTCTTTTCTTTTTATTTTTATATTTACATATATTTTTTTACTACATAAGAGAAGAAGTAGAGAAGAATACATACAATAAAAGATTGCTACTTCTTAAACATTTAAACCAAACTGCTTCATTCATAAACTCAAAGTCATCAAAATATTTTATATAACTCAATGCAAGGGACCAAAAGAAAATTAATTAAGCTCAAAGAAGACATTTTGGTGTATCTCAAACATATCATTAGTCAAGAATAAAAGTTTTATTATGCATCAATCACATTAAAATATGAAATAAAAATAAGTAGTCTCAAGTTTATTACAAGTCAAGTTCTAGAACACAAATCTTAAGAGGATAATCACACACAATATTAAGTAAAGGGGTATCATCAATTAAATTGAATAAAAACCCCATAAAAGACTTAAACTCACATATGTGATCTAAGTTTACTGTAAAGTGAAAAAAAAAAACATAAGAAACTTAGTTAATTATCAATTTCCTGTCTTAATTCAGTAATATCACTCAACATGTTCTATAAAAAAAAAATTGGATTCCTTAAAGATAAAAGTTTCAAGTTATTAAAACAAATGAGAGTACATTATTTAACTTAAGATCATGCAACAAGAAAAAGCTTACTGGGTAAGTACCCCCTCATACTTAAAGTGAAACATTGTCCTCGACGTTAAGAAAAAGAAAAAATAAAAATAAGCAAATGAAGAAAAAAAAAGAGAAAGAAATGAACTTCTTGATAAAAATAAAAAATGCAAGTTACCTCTTACAAAAGCTTATTTAACGTCACGAGCTTGACGTTCTATTGGGCTACTTCAAAAGTGAGGTGTGACATTTAGACATCACGAGCCTCCTTTAAGATTGCACCTTCGGCTTGAACTCTTTTTTCAAGTAAATTTGATGGGTACATATAAAGGGGCTAAGACTCTTAATATCATTAATGCTCTACCTAAAGGTTCATTTCTTCTTCTTCAAGATTGTTCACAACTTGTCCTTTATAACACTTGTTAAATAAGAAGAAATAATTATAGAAAGATAAGATGTAAGGGAGTGAAAAACATTTAAAATTGGAAGGAGGCTCTAAATTTGGAGGTTTCTCAATAGATGGTTTGTGCTTTTGTAGGACACATTCTCCAAAATCTTCAAAGTGCTTGCATCCTGACCATCTCCTTGGTCACACATTGCTTCGGAATCTAGCATTGCATCTTTCTTAAGTGTGAGAAGCCTTTCTAAAGTATCCTTTGTTAGTTGCATAGAATTCAAAGAAAGAGAAGCACTATCCAGAGCACTAACAAAATTATAAGAATAAAAACTAGAGAGGTGTTTAAGAGAAGAAAAGATTTTAGAAACAACTTTCTCATCATTTATCCTTAAAGTGGATTTCCCTCACTAGACATCTATGATGACCCTTCTTGTGACTAAGAAGGGTCTGCCTGGGATGGTAGGAACTTCGTCATCCTCTTCCATATCCAATATTATGAAGTTTGCAAGAAAGATAAACTTTCTCACTTTCACGAAAATGTCTTCCACTATGTCTTATATATAAGGGGCATGCTTATTGAAAAAGTAGGGCGTGCTCATCATGAAGCAAGGATGTGCATGTGCCCCTATTTTATGATTCCTTGAGCACTTTAGGTAGTTTCTTCCCACTTCTCAGATTAATGGCCTTAACATACTCTTCAAGATTAGATTCAAGTTGAGTTGATAATATTTCCAATACCTTATGACTCAAAAGGGTAGTCAATTGCTACAAATGTGACTCAATTTTTAAGAGCCTTTTATCCAAACTTTACATGTGTTGCTCTATCTCAGACTCAAGCTTTGAGAATATTTTATTTAAATAGTTCACAAACTACATCATAGTCTCTTAGAAGTTGAATTGAAAATTAGGAACCTCCTTCCTTTCTGGTCTTGCTCCTTAGTTTCATATATGGAGAGGGTGATAGACGTTTGAACTCAGGCTTTCTAAGCAATTTCCCTAAGAATTGGGATTAATTCACCACTCAAAGTTATAATTATTTTTTGATAAGTTAGCTTCCACTTTATGCTTGGCCTAGTAATCTTTGAATTGACAAGTACCACTATCATGGCTTGGAAATGCAGTGCTCATGTAGGTTATTTTAGCAGTTACTCCTGCACTTTTATGATAGATTCCATCTACTTAACCAATGCTTGCATTTATTCGTTAGAAGTCCTATGAATAGGAATCCAGACTCAACTACCGATAACTAGTGATTTCTGAAATGAGCTTAATATTATGAGATATGGGAAAGTATTTTTCCAAGAACTGTTAAGTCAGATCATTCTATGTTATGATAAAATTGGCTAGTAAAGTCGAGAACTACCTATTCACTTTTTTGTGATAGAAAATGGAACACTATTAGAAACACGAGAATTATAGATGAATTTACATATGAATTTTTTAAAGGTTACTGACATATTTTATTATTAAAAATGGATTTACAGACTGTTTAGACTAATCTATAATTTCCTCGTAGGTAGAGCAATACTAACAAATTTTTGATAGACGATTGTCGCATTGTTACCAAAACAACTAAGTTTATTTAAGAACTTTGCAGTATAAAGCGCAACCTAGGTCAATTCACAAAAACACATATGAAGTGAAATTTAATTTTAGGTTCTTTAATAATGTAAGTGACAATTTAGAATTTTGTGAAATTCGATGCAACTGAATTAAAATTATGAATGCAATTAACTTGAAGAAAAATATATTAAGAATTATCAATCCACACTACTACAAAATCTGCATATGTAGATAGATTTACAGACATGTTTTTGAATCATTACAGATAGATTTTGAAATTACAGATGGATTTACAGATAGACAGAAACTGTCTGTAATATCCTCGTCGGTAAAAAATTACAGACGAATTTAACAATCCATTTGTAAGTTATAGACAGAAAAATCCATCTATAAGTTACAAACAAATTTTTTTGTCTATAAATTACAGACAAAAAAATCAGTTTGTAACTTATAGACGGAAAAATCCGTTTGTAAATTATAAAAGAAAAAAT